TTTATTTTTATTTGATCTAGTTTACGACTAAAGTCCAGTCCAAGTACTTTCCGTACATCTCATTAATACAGTATAATTATTAAATTTCTTTTATTTATTTAAATGGGCATGGCATATTTAAATCAATTTTAATGAATATTTATGGTTTAAAATGAAAATATTATATCCTAGATACTATTAATTATATTTTGTAATTATATTTGTCAAAAAGTGCTTAAAATGTAAGTTTTATTTTTAAATATCACCTTTAATTACATTATGAATGCAATTATAAAATATAAAATATATATAAAATATTATATAAAATATAATGCAATTATAAAATAAAATAAAATAAATCAAAATAATGTTAGGTTTAGTTATGTAAATGTAAAAAATTATTATTTAAACAATGTATTCATAGCTATATATATCTTTTAAATAAATAAATTAGCATGTTTCTAAAATAGTTACAGTGTCACATGAAGCCACGTGTACTGGATGGCACAAATATCTTATTATTTATAGCATCAAACGTTAGTACAAAATAAATATTTCAACATAAATCAATAAAATCAAAATCATACGTTATAGTTTTTAGTAAACTAAACACTTAGCATTATTAAAACAACGCATTGTGCAGTCTGAAATAAAAATCAATGTTGCAGATTTATATGCATGTATAAGTATCATTTGTCTTATAGCATACAATTTGAATGAAAATCTAATTAATTATGAACACAATTAAGAGTAAACTTCGGCAAACTTTAAGCGATTATTACGCTAAACATGGCGATATCTGTATTGAAGTGAGCAAGTATGAATATTTCCTAAAATATATATTTATCACACTAGCTGATAGTATAGACCACATACAAACCGGGTATTATACACCATGGCGATTAGTACAACTTATTGTGGTCAGGCTTATGGTGGTAGGTTGCGCAATTTCAACCGCTATAATTGCGTACGCAAATCACTCGGGTGTCCTAAAATTTCTAATTGATATTAGTGACTTCTTTGGCCACCGTTTATTGACCAGCACTTGGTTGTGCTTGATATTTGTATCAGATGTCCTAATTGAAACAAGGCTATTATACGATGAGCTAAACGGCAAGCTGTACCTCATTACATTTGCGCACAATATCAAGCATGGCACATTTAAATACCCATTGAATCTAATGTACTCTAGACGGCTAAGCATTATATTGAGCTTGGTACGAAAATATTTCATTGTTTACATATATTTGGTCCTAGTTTTCGGTAGTTTAATCACATTGGCAGGTGTCATGTTAATAGAGTACTTCAGATCACCAAGCTACCTTAAACTAGTCATCATGCTCTGCATTGATGTTTGGGGTCTAATTGTAGGCTTGGAAACCTACGGACTGGTAATTTGTGGCTCGACCATCGTCTACCTGTCCGCCATGTATACCAGGTACAAATTTCTGGACATTCACCGTAAAATAGTCGCGTGTATTAAATACCGAAATAGAGACTTACTATTCCGGGCAATCGACGAACACAATTACTGGGAAAATGTAACCAAGGACCTAAACTATAATCTCAATTATATGATCTTTATTATTTATTACCTTGCGTCCATCCCCATTGAGCTATGCGTGTATTTTGTCTTTAAGCCGGATATTAATGTATTAGCCAGGGTGGGAGTTACATTGATAATCTTATTTAATTTTAGCATTATATTTGGCATTACTCTGATTAGCACCTTGATCCCAAAGGCTGCTCATAAACCGTATAAACCATTGTTGTTGTTTATAACAAAGACCAAGGTGTTATCTCTAAGGGACAGATTGAAAGTACTGACATTCATGGAAAGGCTGTCCACCGGTCCCGCAATTGGCTTTTATTGCCTGGATTTGTTTCCTATGAATAACTATGAATTTTACCAATTTTTAGCTATTCTTTGCAGTAATTATCTTCTATTAATTGATTTGTATTAAAATAGTTCACATAATTCGCCACTAAAACCAAACTAATAATATAGTTACGTAATAATTGATTAGAAAATCGTTGGAGCAGCTATATTGAATGAATTTATCCTGGTTATTTAGAGTTTAAAAGCCATAGTGGAAAATGTTCATTTGAGTTTACATAAAATCTAATAATTCTAATGATTCACAATTGTAGGTTTAAATATGAATGATTACTATAGTAATAAATATAATTAATTACAAAGAGTGCGATACACTGATTAATATTATGGGCATTAGAAGTTATTTGGACTCAAATGAACTTTTCCCACTGAACTAGTATAAATTTTACAGCATTATATAAAACCCAATTTTACGGTACTTATTTTTTTAAGTACGGTAATGTTAATTTATTTCATTTTTAATGTTTTTCAAAATAACCTAAAATTAATAATATTAATAAGTAAATAAATAAATAAAATTAATATATTTATTTTAAACAGAAGTATCATGTCAATATCTCTAAACTATATTATAGTATCTGTACAATACATTTAATAAAATGCTCAAAACCTTGTTTATACTTTAATTAAAAATATTTTTAAAAACTATTAATAAATGGTGAGTTTTGTGTCAATCAAAAGCATTTTGTTGAATGAATGTATTCTTTATACGCCAATAGTTTTCATATTCATTTTTTGCCAATTGTACTAGCAACTTTTTATCCATAGCAAAATCATCATTGGCTTTGAGACAAAACAAAATCATAAATATCTTGAACACCAATGCAAACAATTTCACTTCTTTTAACAGCTGTTCCGTTGAATTCATCCCATTTTGAGACCAACTCTTTCCGAAGATAATCTCATTTTCCGAGACATAGTATTGAAGTAATTGTTTGATCGTAGAGTCGTCGGCAAAAGTATGCACAGTTAGGATGTCAGTGCGGAGTCGACCCCATTCGTTGATAATGGTGCCCAGGTCCATTCCCCTGAACCCATAGCTGCTATATTCATAATCACAGATAACTAACTGATCCCCAGATGCCGTCTCATTGTCTAAAACCAATACATTAGAGCTGAACAAATCGTTGTGTGAAAACACGAGAGGACTGTCTATTTTGACGCTCATATCCTTCAGCCACTGGACCTCAGCCTTCAAATCGTGACTTTTGATTGTCTCGCAGTTAAGCCCTTCAATCATCTCATTAATGGCAGGTCTTCTATACGCCTCCTCGCAGTTGAGATCCATCTCTCTGAAGATCCAGTGCACTGGACCTCAGCCTTCAAATCGTGACTTTTGATTGTCTCGCAGTTAAGCCCTTCAATCATCTCATTAATGGCAGGTCTTCTATACGCCTCCTCGCAGTTGAGATCCATCTCTCTGAAGATCCAGTGCTTCTTCGGGAGGGGGACGTCGAGGGCGTGGACACGAGCTATCTTTCGGAACAGTTCTTCAACCAGTTTTAGGTTATTTTGTTCTTCGAGTTTGAAGTGTCGGTGCTTTTGATAGAGAAATAATTATGTTATACAACACACAGACATTGAATACACGGCTGAATACCTGATAGTAGTGTTGGATCTGTCCGTCTTCGAAGAGTCCGTATATTTTTGGTCCCAATTGTGTCTCCGATAGCATCAGAGATGTGATGACATCACTCAGGCGTTCACTTCTCATGTCTTTCAACCTCTCATTTCCATCACTATTCAGATTGTTATACACTTTACGGCCATACAATCGGATGACCACCTCTTGAGGGGCAGTGGATGTAAGGGAGGGCTCATTGACTCCACAATAGTATAACTCATTATTCAAACTCCCGGGTATTGTTCGGACTTGTATTGAGTCCACGGTTTGTTGGATCCAATTGTGGGCCAAATAGTCTCTACATAACTGCAAACACCGCTCTTTGATACCATGGGGTGTCTGTCCTCTAATGAGTACCACTTTCTCCAAATCAAACTCTTCGCCCGCTTTTAAGTCTTTTAAACTTTTTGAATGACAATCGTTTGATGACATGTTTAATGAGAATGTGATTTAAACAGTCAACCAAATCGTATGAATACACAATACTATTAATATAATGAAATGAAAAATGAAATATAAATATTTATATACATGTATATGACAGATAAATAAAAAGTATCTTATATAATAGTTACACATGTACTGTAGTACATTTGTATTGATATGACGTAACCATTCATAAGGAATCCCTACTTAAATGCCATATAAGGATAAACAGATGTATTATTAGGTGATATAGTTATACATTTTCATACCATATAAGGCAATGTAAAACCATTCATAAGGAATCCCTACTTAAATGCCATATAAGGATAAACAGATGTATTATTAGGTGATATAGTTATACATTTTCATACCATATAAGGCAATGTAATGTCAATATCATATGCTTTGAATAACGTGTTCATTAAACCGCGTAATCATGTAATCATGTATTGTGTGGTGTATTGCATAGCATTACTAGCATTGAGTGAACGCATAGTAAGCTTAGAAAGCGATGCATATAAAGCTCTGCACATCGACTCTGGAGTCACAACTGAATTGATTGACTAAAACATCGCTAAACAGTCCGACAATTGATCCAATCGTTTGAATTGCTATTCATTTGAGATCTGATTGACTGCTCGTTGATATGTCTTCAGGAGTGACCGTATGGTCCAAACCAACCCATCGCTTGCTTTTAAATCTATTAAACATTTTGTTTGACAATCATTTGATGACATGTTTAATGAGAATGCCATTTAGACAGCGAACCAAATATTATGAATACGATAATGAAATGAAATAAAACATGAGATACTGTACTCTTATCAATCATTAAAAATATTTTGTAAATGCGATCATTAATAAATATGCCCACAATGTACTAATAGCAGACATCATTGCATTTAAATTATTAAATTATCTTAAATATGTATCCTTGAATAATTATAACAAATATTAAATAATTTATCCTGGAATATATCAATACTAGTAATACATTTTTATATCCATTTATATATATATAATACAAACATATAATTTTGTTTACTCGTTTAATAAGCTGACTAGTTTATTTAATTGAATTACAAATCAAGTAAATACACTGTCATTCACAATTTGGGATACCCTCCCACTCGGTGTCTGTTTTGTGAATTTAGTTACCTATTGTATTGTATCCAAAATAATTGTCCATCATGTTTATACCGGTAGTAAAATATTGTAATTATAATATACATTTTATAAATTAAATACCAATAAATATACACTGATATCAATCAAGTATTTGGTATCAATACTTTATTTTAAGTAATGAGTGAAAAATATTTATTTATAAAAATAATTTTATTCAATAGATTACTAAAGAGTTAAAACTTACAATAATATTATGAACTAATTTTGAATAATTCATTTCATCATATTTATAATGAGGTATAAATAAATTATCCAAATTTAGCCACAAATGTATAATAATTTCGAAATTCATTCAAATAATTAGTTCAGAGGAGAAGGGAATGGGTTTTTGGAAACGAAAGAGTGGTTTAGAGAAGAAATTGATTGTTTCGGTCGTTGTCTTCGTATTGATATCCATCGGACTATTGGTGGCAACCATTGTATTGACCATCAAATACATCCGTAAATTAATGATCATATTTGACACAAAATACTCAAACAATTATTTGATTGTAGAGTCAGACGACGAACCGGATGTTTGCGAATCAGCCGAATGTTTAATAGCAGGTAATAATGGTATCATAAATATATTTATAATTATTTGGACTCACTTTTGATGATAGCCTCCAATCTTCAGAGTTCTCTCAACTTATCTGCCGATCCGTGTGAAGACTTCTATGAGTACTCCTGTGGCGGTTGGATCCGCAACCATACTATCCCACCCGATATGCCCGGGTTGTCTCAGTTTGATGTCACCAGAAAGACAGTTAAAGATAATCTTAGAGGTGATTTAAATTATAAGTGTTTATACTGTATATACTTTATTAATTATAATATTATTATATGTATAGTACTTCTGGATGCAGAATATGATAATAAGTACCCGACAATTATATCGGACGCCACTAAATACTATAAGCAGTGCATGGATTTGGGTAATACAACACATATAATAATATTGACCCAAAACTGTAACTTTTTAATAACCAATGAATCTTTAAATTTAATGCTTTATCAATAAACAGAAGAATAGAAACATTTAAATTAAAACTAATATTTAAATAAAATTTAAAACAAATTAAAAATAGGAAAACGAGAGACGGGTTTACGAGTACTGAAAGATTTAGTAAATGATTGGCCGATGATTAACAACAATCAAGAAATTCCCAACTTTTTGTGGTGGAAAGAAGTGGCCAGGCTTAATAAGGGACATGGATTCAGTTTTATTTTAGACAATTATGTCGGTTTGGATGATAAAAACACCTCTATTTACTCTATTTATGTAAGAATCTATCGACTAATATATTATACCTTGTTATGATAATGTTTGCTTACTTCTGTATATTATTGACGTGAATGGACAGGTAGACGCACCGTCACTGGGTGTGGGTCGGACCCAACTGGTCAAACCTGATGATCAAAACAATAAGCGAATTCTGGAGGCGTATAAAGTATTGATTGAAGAATCGGCACAACTATTAGATGGAGGCGCCGGCAAACTGAGTGCTAATATTAAGGCAGACATTCAACATGTGGTGGACTTTGAGTCAGATTTAGCCAAAATTATGGCCGAACCGTCTGCCCGTCGTATAAATAAAATAGATTTACAAACATTTGTCAACACATATAATATACCGCTTCTGGATATTGAGAGGCAGGTGTTCGCCAACTATGCGACTATCGATGGCAACACAGGGCTTATAGTTTATGACCGAGATTATTTTAGACAATTGGCTGATCTATTAAACAGAACCCACGCCAAAGATGTCAAGTATTTGAGATTATATTAAGTTTTGATTAAATATAAATAATTTCCTATTAATTATATTATCAATTCATATATTAATATATTTCTGTAGAATAATACAGAATTACCTGAAGTGGCGAACTGTGCGCTCATTAGGCACTCACACGTCAAAGGCTTTCAGAGACATAAGGTTTGCGTTCAACAGAGTGTTGATAGGAGTGGAGGAACCGCCGGCTCTTTGGGAGGTTTGTGTAAATCTGGTCAACGATAGACTCCCTTTCGCTGTCGGAAGGGTTTATGTGGACAAACACTTCCCCGAAGAGGCCAAACGGGATATGGATGTACTGATCGATGCACTCAACAAAGCCTTCACTGAATTACTCGATGAGAACGAGTGGATGGAAAAGGAGACCAAAGATAAGGCCAAAGAAAAGGTACGGAATATTCATATAATGATTAAATTAATTGTAATCTTTGAATAATTAATAATTCATTAAATAAATGTAAACATATTGTACTATATATGCTGTATTTCATTGTATGCTAGTTGGCAGCCATGTTGAGAGCCATTGGTTATCCGGATTTTATTAAAAAGACTCTGAATTGACTGATTATTATAGCGAAGTAAATATATTAATTTAACCATGATTAATTATGGACTATTAGTTTTATGACATATTAAACACATTAATTGTTGTCAAAACAGTTAGTCTTAAAAGACAATTCATTCCTCGCGACCATTACTACCAACGACTTGTGGGCCACTAAGAAGAAGCTAACAAAGTTGAACAAAAGCAACAAGGACAGATCAACACATGAGTAAAAGAAATTTTGTATGAAAAGTAACTAGATTATATAAATCTGTATTTCAACGAACAGTTGGAATAGGGGTCCGGCGACTGTCAACGCATTCTTCAATCCTAAACTCAATCGCATCCGTAATGATGAGTAAAATACAAATTAATTAATTCATTAAAATATGACTTCCATTCATAGAATTCCCGGCTGCAATACTTCAGTCTCCATTCTATACGTATAAACTACCAATGTGAGCATGGTCATTCTCTCTTAATAAATTATAGTAACTCTATTCATATTATAGGGCATTAAATTTAGGAGCAATCGGAGCGGTATACCATTCATAATAAAATCAAAATAAAATGTCATAAATAAATAAATGATTGTTTAGGGTATTGGTCATGAGATCACCCATGCATTTGATGATCAAGGTATTTATATTTAACAAATTTATATTTAAAATATCTGATTCAAATATGGATTAATATAGATATGCTTATCTTTCGTATCTTGCAAACTTTTATGCTTACTACTAAATATCAATATCTTTAGTGAATAAAGTCTATGAGTTTAAGTTAAATTTAAATTGATTAGTTAAATTATACTGCTTATACCATATTCTATACGTGTTGTACAGGTGCTCATTATGACAAGTTTGGTAATCTATACAATTGGAGGGATGGAGTCACTCAACAGAGATTCAATGAACGGATCAAATGTTTTATCAATCAATACAACGGTTATAACGACTCCAACGCTGGAATGAATGTTAGCTATTATTATACATTATATCGAAATATGTATTCATTTCACTATTATTTAGATCAATGGAAAGACAACTGTTGGCGAGAATATTGCAGATAATGGAGGCTTAAGACAAGCATTTAGAGTATTATTATTAACATATATTGATATTTATTTTCCAATTAATGTCAATTCTGTGAATCCCTATGACATCCCTATCCCATAAGGCACTGGAGAACTATAGCTTCCGTAAGCAGTCATTGCCGGGAAGTATGAAGAGCTTCACGAGTGAACAGCTATTCTTCCTGTCGTTTGCAAACGTGAGACTCAATTGGATTCATATTTTTAACGAATAATTTAATTTATTTTGAATACCATTCCCATAGGTTTGGTGTTCAAACATTAGAGATAAGGCTTTAAAACGCTGGATCGAGACCGACCCCCACATTCCCGACAAATACCGGGTTTGGGGCACTGTTTCCAACTCCGAGTCATTCGCCAAAGCATTCAATTGTAAGCCAAAGACTAATATGAATCCCGAACCCAAAGACAAATGCATTCTCTGGTGACTCAACCTTATTGTCAAATATGTATGGGTTTTAATTAATGTCACAAAATATAAATTATAAAAATCTATTAAACCCTTTAACGGTAAACGAATTAAATTTTATTTCCAAAACTATTACATCTAATGATCATTTCGTATGAACAAGAAGTCCAATGACACCATTGCTAGCCATATATGTTAAGCTCTTTCGGATATTCCGCATATGAATGAGTGGTTTCACACTATTTTTGACTATTTTTTGTAGAATTTGTGCCCAAATTCTAGACAACTCTTCAGTGCTTTTACATTTTTAGTCGCTTTGGATCTCATCTGCTGTACTGTATTACACTTAAAACATAACACAAAAATACTTGTAAAATATTTAAAAGTTACAAGAGTCACAAGTCATAATATATATGTAGCGCATGAAATCAAAATATGAAAATGTAATTGTGTTAACATATAAATAGTTTTTAAATATTAAATATTATTTATTAGATTCTCATTTCGAGCCCAATATTAACAGCACCGGTATTTAAGAAAAACTCAAACTTTTTAAGTTTAAGGGGAATTGTTGTATTGGGTGTTGTCTTGAATTTATATTTATGGACCAAATGAGCGACAGCTGTCTTGGCCTCCATTAATGCAAACCTCATTCCCACACAATTTCGGGGTCCCGTCCCGAACGGCATATACGTGTATGGAGTCAATTGGTCCCTATTCTCCGGCATAAACCTCTCGGGATCCCAGACCTCTGGGTTTGTGTAGTACTCAGGGCTGTGATGGAGGGCATGGATGTCGATGTTTACCATCATTCCCTTTGGTATTGTTAATCCTGTGTCTCCTTTGGATGAAATAATTATATTTGAATTAAATCTTAATACAGAGAATATTCTGTTAAAACACATACCGATTGTGTAATCCTCTGAAGCTAATCGACTAACGGCTGGAATGGGATTATAAAGTCTGAGTGTTTCGGCAATACATGCCTCCAAATACGGCATTTTCGAGACACTCTCGTAATCATACTTTCCGTCCAAACCATTCACTTCTTCGTACAGTTTTTGCTGACACTTCTCATTGAGTGCCAGACTATAAAACAGATACGACAGCAGAGCACCGGTAGTCTCATATCCGGCCACTAAAAATATAAAACTATTGGCCAATATATCGATGTCTGTCAACAAAGTATTCTTTGATTTATTTAATATCTCCGTTGACTCCGACTTTCCAAAGATATCTTCATTCAAGTCATTCATGTCTATCTCATTGTCTGTATTCATGCGGTTCTGGGCGTCAATCATGAGCTGAAGATAATCTCTTTGTCGCACTTTCTCTGACTTACGTTTCGCCAGAATAGCCGTAATCTGGAAACCAATGTATCATTTTTATTATCAAATGTTTCAGTTGTTAAGTTATTTATGTGTTACTAACCGCTGATGTGAAGAACCTATTGACTGATGGATCCAAGAATTGAAATCCTGTCCACTTCTGAAGGTTTTGTGATATACTGATTAAAATGGTGAACACGAATATTCTCCACCGACTGCCTCGTAATACTTTACTGGCATTTACTATGAATTCATTGGTCTTATGGTCATTATATGTGTCTATTTTGGTGCCGAAAGCACACGAAGCGATCACATCCATCGTTAGGCTTCCCATCGTTTTCTTCATCTCCACGTCTTCTCCAGACATGGCTTTGGTCTCCAAATAGTTGTCTAATCTGTGGACACAATCAATGATAATGGGATGCATTGATCGCATCTTTCCACTCGAAAACGTCGGACTTATCTATTGATTCGTTATTATTAGTAATAATTAATAAATAGTTATTTAAATACAACTCACAATCGATCGCATAGTCTTCCACTCGTCTCCCATCAGATTAAACAAACCCCTGTCCTGTAGGGCATCATTGAATGAAAATCCATTTCTATTGACAAATACATTAAAATCCTTTATATTCATGATTTTGATTAACTCCGGGTCGACCACATTTAGTACGGGTGTAGTGCCCATAAATAATCTATAAATTTGTTAAAACAAAAATTTTGTTAAATATATAATAATAATCATAGTGATTGTCAAACATAGCAGTATTAACTACTCATACACACCCGTGTAATTTACCAAATTTCTGATAATTATCCTGGGACAGTTCTGGCATTGATTTGGTAAATAATTGCCAAAATGTCCCTAAAATTGGTACAGGTTTTGGACCATTGATTCCCCGGGAACTCCAATATTTAAAATTCCGGGTTAAATAACTAATAAAGAGTATATGTTTAAAATAATATAAAATATTAATTAATATATTTATATTTATACTTACAAATACAGTATAACCAAAACGGATACAGATGCAATCAATGAATTCAACGAGAATAAATTATCTAGCAACATTTTTAAGCCTACAAACTTTTATTGTATATAAAACTGTCTAATGACTTAATTATTAAATAATTTTGTGTTTATATACTTTTGAAGTCTGTTTATCAAATATCTAATCATATACTGTATCATTTTATCATTTTATAGCGTAAGTATAAACCACTTCACAACCAGTTTAATAGGATTCCCTATTATATAAGCTAAAATACTAATCAAGGACATACTAGTTAACATATTTATCATTTATAAAACTAAGTACATTAGGGGCTGTTAGCAGTTCATTATGGGCAAAAAATGTTTATCAATTAAATTGAATGTTATTAACACTTGTCTAATAGTTTGAATAACTGTTAATGACATTGAAAAGATAATTAATTGTAAATGTTTATTACAATAATTATAATAAATGATTAGTAATATTTTATTGCTTTGAAAAGTTTATTTAAATGTTACTAGTAAAGTAATAAGTTACTAAATTATATTTACAGTATTGAACTTTAGCTTGATAGAAATTTTTAAAAATCCTTTAACCAATATCTCATAAAAAATAATAAAATAATATTATATTAGTTTAAATGCTTATATTTTGAGAGTAGTTTTAATAATTATTTTTAGTATCGGGTGTCCCATCGTATCAGTAAGATTTCTAAATTAATTTTAAAATATTTACAATTATATTTTGTTAACAAAAACTATACCAAAATGTTGGACATTTATTAAAATTTTATGTGCACTTCATAAA